GTTGATGGGAGTGTAAACTGGTGCACGCAGTATGGAAATCAATACGGAGAATCCTCAAAGCACAGAGACTAGAAACTCCATTTGACCCAGCTATTCTCCAACTAGAAGTCTTCCTGAAAGAGTTAAAGACATCATATTACAGTGATACATGCACACCCATGTTTATAGCAGCATAATTCATAATAGCTAAATCTTGGAAGCATTCTTTATGTCTATCAAAAGATGAATAGATAAAGAAAATGTAGTATTTATACATATTGGTTTACCTCCCTGCTACAAAGAAGGATAAACTTGAGCCATATTCAGGAAAATGAATGTATCTTGAGACCATAATGTTAAGTGCAGTAAATCAGACACATGAGCTTAAATACCACATGGCTTCTCTTATATGAGAAACCCAAAATATAAAGAAAGAACAAAATAAAAGATAGATAGTAGGAAGCAGAGAGATAGATTTTGTTTGAATGGGAAGTGGATCAAAAGATGGATGGAGGGGAGGGGAGCAAAAGGGTTGAGAAAAAGAAAATGTGTTATATGTGCATGTACCAACTCGAGTTTAATCATTATGTAATACAAACATGTACTCGTAAAAACTAAGAACTGAAAGAAAAAGAATTGTGCATTGCTTCCCTTCACGTTGATCAAAAAAAAAAAAAATAAATCTTGAACATCCTGTGTCTTTTGTCTTGCCAGCCCACCTTATGGTTTTATTTAAATATTCTAATTTTACCAAGCTAAGGAGGCTTTTTGTTTCTTTTTTTCTTTTAATCATCAGTGATACTTAATTTCACAAAATATTTTCTGTGCTTGATTTTCATAGAATTAGATATTTCCCCCATAATAATATCTTTTCCTTGGTTCTCTATAAAGAAACAGCCAAGTCCAAGAAACACAGACTATTTCTTTGCTCTGTGGCACTTGGCAGTTACCTATCTCTGTGTATTTTTGGCTCATTCCCCAGGTGATCTCTTCTACATCACTGTTAGGAGGTGAATTTTAAGGTTACTTTTAAAAAGTAAAGAGCCAATAAGAAATTTGTTATTACTTCACAAATTCTGACTTTCTAAGGCCATTGTGAGATAGCATTTATTTGCTCAACCCGTATATGTGCATTTGGAGGCAGGCACCATGAGAGATTGTTGTATACTTAGTGACTGGTTGAGTTGAGAGACGTGTGGTATACTTAGTGACTGATTTGGTGTGTATGGAACTTTCTGAGGTCAGGAGCCATGTGTTCCTCGTCCTGAGTAGGACTGTAGTCCTGTAGTAAGACTTGGCACTGAGAAGCTTCCTAGAAGTGTTGGAAGAGATGAATGAAAGAGTCACCCTTATAGGCCAGAGTCAGCTGTGCTCAGAGTTTTCATAGACAAGCACATTGGGGTATGTGCCACATTTCACCTTCTGCCTGTGGCAAGGGCAAATTCAGGAGGTCTAAGATACGTTTCAAGAAACCACCAACTGTCTGGAGATGATGGGACTTGCTTTGAGTGGTAGGAAAAAATTGGAGGTTTTCATGTGGCCAAAATATGATCCTTGAAGATTAAAACAAAAACCTGTGTCCCTGAGCACTTTATAAGTAAGGAGAAGGCATGGCTTTCTCTGTACCTTGAAGGAGGAATAATGTTTACGTGGGTGGAAAGGATCAGTCAGGGACGATATTTCTGATAGTACAGGTTTGAAGGACACCTGTGAGCATATAGGCACAAAGCCATGCTGAGGCGGGTTGGAATGCTGAGCTTTTACAATGGGACTGAATAACTTCCACAGACATTTCTCCAGAGAAGGTACACAAAAGTTCAAAAAGCAGGAGAGAAATACTCACCATCACTGGGCATGAGGGAAGTGTGAGTCAAAACCACAGGGAGACACCACCTCATACTCATTAGGATGGCTGTTACCACAAAAGCAGAAGACATGTAATGGTGAGGACGTAGAAAAATTGGAAAAATGGGAACACTTGTGTACTGCTGGGGGGAATATAGAATGGTGCAGATACCATGGAAAAAGATAGGAGAGTCCCTCAAAAGTTAAATGTGGAGTAACTGTCCAGGAATTGCTTCTTATCTGCCCCAAAGAACTGAAAACTGGGTCTTGATGTCTGCATATGCTTGTTCACAGCAGCATTTTTCATAAGAGCCTGAAGGCTGAAGCAACCTTAGTGTTTGTTGGCTGATGGATGGCTAAAGAAACTGTGGTACCCATACAATGGAAAGTTATTCAGCCTTAAAAAGGGAAGAGGTTCTGACACAGGCTCCAATATGAGTAAACTTCAGGCTCATTTTGGTAAGGGAAGCGAGACAATCACAGAAGGACCGAGACCGTATGATTCTACTTACATGAGTTTTCTAGAGGGGTTAAGTCTATATGGACACAAAGTAGGAAGGTTGCCAGGTGTGGGGGAGGGAGGAGTAGGGATGGAGAGTTAGTGTTGAATGGCTTCCATGGTTCAATTTAGCAAGATGAAAAAATTCTGGAGATAGATGGCGGCGATGGTTTATCAATGAAATGAATGTACTTAAATGCTTTAGAACTGTGTATTTAGAAAGAAATAAAATGGTAACTTTTGTTAAGTATGATTCCGCAAAATAGAACATGTAAAAAATAAAAGAAATAGAGCTAAAATTCGTGTATTTCGTAGTCTAAGCTGCATTGCCTCAGGGTACCAGATGGGTCAGGCTGCAGAGGGAGAAGGAAATTCATGTCAGTGTGAACACTTGTTCAGCTCGTGCATTTCTCATTGAATCTTCAGTGAAGTCTAGTAAGGTCAGTGTTAATTATTGTCTACCTCTGATAGTTGACAAGATGTGTCCAAGAATGGCAAGAGGAGGCACCTGGGATCTTGAAGAACTGGAGTGGCAAACCAAATTTTATTAGTGTTTATGTCTGTCCTCCTTCCACTATCCCAGGCTGGTTGGAATGCCAGATGCCTTCCCATGGGAAAGTTATGCTCCTCCTCAGCATGGCCTCTTTGTGACACACACAGGCTGTTTCCTTGATTAAAAAAAAATTCGGTGGCTGTGGCTGCCTCCTCATTGTAGAGAAGTAGGTCAAAGCAATAACCACAGGCTAGATGCATCTTGCCAGGAAGGCTTATTGCAACATAACCCTGGAAGCTTGAGGAGGAGGGTGGAAGCCAGGGTCTCCTTATAGCCTCCTGGAAGCATGGTTTCCCCTTGCACCTGCCAAGTGAGACTGATGTTTCCTCCTGCTCCTCAGCATGTTCATGGAGGCCCTGATGGGGCACTGTCAGCATCTGAGCTTACACACTGTGCCCCAAACTTTGTCCTCTCTGATGCTTCTGGAAAATGTCCCCACTAGGGTCATTAGTGGCCAACTCATTGCCAGATATGGTGGGAGCTTTCCCAACTTCTAAGGACATGGCTTACCTGCTTTCCGGACCCTCACCCTTCTTGAATTTCCATGACACATTTGAGTTGTGGATTGTTGCTTATGCTGTTGGTATTATAGCTGTGAAACCATCACCTGATCCTAGGTCATGATGATTTGCTTCTGTGTTTTCCCTGAGGAGTTTTATTTGCATATTTTTTCTGTAAAGGGCCATATAGTAAATATTTCAGGCTTTTCCAGACAAATATGGTCTCTGTTGCATATCCTCCTTTGTTTTTATTTTGTTTTAATGTACCACCTTTACAGTGTAAAAACTGTTCTTAGCTCCCAAGCAATATAAAAACAGAGTCTGTCTTGGCCCATGGCCTGTACTTTGCCAGTGTCTGTTTTTGGATGCTGCTGTGGAAGGATTTTATCATTTTAGTCAGGAGTTGAGTTGGGCTGGGATTTCTTGTTGCTATGGTTATTCTTGGTACCCCACAGACTGCAGATTCCTCTAGTGTTGCTTTGTGCTGGGGATGGAATGGATGAGAGAGGAGGGGTGTCAAGATGCCAGTTTTTCCCTTCATGTTCTCCCTCCACCCTTGGTCCCCTCCCCTTCTCTTCCCTCCCTTTCCAACATGCAGCCCCTTAGGTGGATCTGTCCACAGCTCTGTTGCTCTTAAGGTGCTTCTAGGCTGGTAATGGGCTGGTGGAGGTCTCTGGCATCCTCACCCCTCCTCACTCTTAGGGAGTCTCCATGCATCTGGGTCCTGTCTGGGGCTTTCTCATTATTTGTGCCCCTCATACTCACAGTTGCCTAGCTCTGCCCGTATTGTGGTGGTTGCTGGGCATGAGTGAAGTCCTGCCCCATCGCAACTGCGTGATGCCTCCATTGGCATTGGAGCTGAATCCTGGCTTAGGACTTTTTCCTGCCTCATCCCACTAGACTGGGACTTTGCCCTGTGTCTTACCTTGTTTGTGTACTTTTACCTTGCCTGCACCCTTGCCTTGTGATGCCCTTTCCTCAGCACTTTAAGGGACAGCAAGGTAGACACAGCCTCCTGTGCACAAGCACGGACAAAGTAGTTGGCCACCACTATCAGGAAGGGAAGACACTGAAACCCCAGCTCTAGACCAGGGCAGCCATTACCTTTGAGCTAAGATCTTCCTGCTCATGTAAGTTGTGGCTGATATCTCTTTATACTGTGGCCTGCCGCTGGTAAGATAGTCCTGTAACCAGCACCTCTTGGAAGGGCGTTGGTTGCCCGTGCCTACATCTCTGGGGTGGTTAATGTGGGTCTTGCTAGCTGCCTTTTCCTCACTGTCCACCTGAGAGGCGGGTATGTGAGCTTTGTTCTTGATGGAAGCATACCATTGCCTGTCCTGATGTGTGTCTTTAGGTGGTACTCACTGAAATGGGCTTCTCTTTCTAAAATGATGTATGCAATCACAAACCATATTTTGGAACTCCTTCCATGTGCATGTCCAGGCTGTGGATTGGGTTCATGTTGGACACCCTAGGAAAGATGACGCCAGGGTGAGAGTTGTCCATTGCTAGTAAGTACATTTACCTGGGTGTTCTTTATGCTGTTCTTCAGTGAAGCCTACTTTGTGGTGAGAAACCTTGGCTAACTTGGGAGTACTGATTTATTATTATTATATCTTTTTAGACTCTGGAAGCTGTCCTGAATTTCAAGTACTCGGGAGGCCCAGGCCACGTGGAAGGATATTACAGGAACCTCTCCCTAGGCCTGCATGTGGAAGTTGAGCCATCTGTATTTTTCACACGAGTCAGCACTCTCCCAGCAACCAGGTAACCATCACAACACTGCGAACCTGACAGTACTGTTTGGATCATGGCCCTCTGGTTCATATCAGTTGGGCCATCTGTGTGATCTGTGCCATCTGGCCAGGGTGCTCACTGCTCTGGGTCTGAAGGTCTTCAGTAGTAGACAGTCATGCAACAGGAACTGCTACTCTCGGTGGTTGACCGCAGAAGGCTTGCTGCCATGCTGCTACTGGCAGTTCTTGCATGTGGCCCTCGTGTAGACATCTTTCTGCAGGGTAACTCACCTTTCTTATCAGCAGGGCCTTGGAAGAGAGCTTGTGTAGTGGTACCTTGGTTCATGAACTTAATTCATTCCATGATTTTGGAGAAAATGGCTGTGGTCCTGTTTGCTACCACATGCAGAGTTTATAAATAGAAGCAAAATTTTACCAAGCATTTCTGTTTGTGAACCAAATTGTTCACGAACAGAAGCATTCATGAACTGAGGGAGGAATTACTGTATCTTGAGAACTCCTGGAAAAGCCTTGCATTTCTTCCTGTGCTGCTCCTCTTATCCAGTGAGATAAGTGCTTTGTTTCAGGGCCTGGCTATCCACTGTTGCAGGGGGTTCCCACTGTTCAGGGGAAAGGAATCAAATAATTTTAGTCTACCTTAAAACGGAAGTGGCAAGAAATGTTAGGGGTCTTTTAACAGGTGGGAGAGTGATAGTTTCTCATGATGAACTTTGACCTGTGGTGAAGTTGAGGCAGGGAGGCCAGGAGTCACCTAACTTGTAGAGCCCCAGCTGACCGGAAGCCCTGAAGCTCAAGAGTTTTGCCCAGGTGTACATAACCTCTGCAGAGCAGGTGCCAGTCGCCATGGAACTCAATCAGATTCTCAGGCTCAGCAATGCTCTGCACGTTTGTGGGGAGGGAAGGCTGGTTAGTATTATTCATTCTTAACAGAGTTAAGCAACAGTGGTGAAAAACACTTACCTGTTTATCCCTGAACATGAGGCAGGTGGGGAGGGGAGCATCACAGGCAGCCCCTCTCACCAGTCTGCCCAATATTTCACAGCATAAAACAGAGCTATGTTGCTGCCCATGTTAATGTTGTCATAAAAATCCATTTAAAGTGATACAGCCCTAAATAATAAGTGTGTTTTTGGTTTATAGGAAAGACTATTTTTCTTCCCAGACATTGGCAAATGGCTTTAGCCTGAATTAAAGGCTTAGCTGGGCCTTTTAGCATCACATTTCATCATCTATCACTTTTCCAGTCCTCAGAGTAATAATCTTCACTGCCAAGGCCTGCCTCTATTTTGAATTTGTATAAAGCATTAAAGCACTTGCCCTGAGGGAAGACTTGGCCAGAATGCTGCCAAACGACATTAGGGTATGACAGGCCCTTTCTGTGCCTCAGATCTGCTCCATCATAAACCCGCTGTGTCTCTTTCCTAGCCCCTCACCTCCCATTGCCACTACCCGTATAAATAATTCTCAGAACTGGCACAGGTTGTTACTGAAATCTTTTTTATCCCTATTGATATTTGGCTTCCATGTCATGGCCCCCGCAGTTCCAAATGACAATTTAAGGTGTGAAAAGTGCTGCCCTGTGGTAGGCTGCACACAGATTGGAAGAGGTGGTTATTAGCTAAAGTCCTAGTTGGGTCCTGATCCCCACTCTGTAGCCCTTGCTGTCTTCTTCTGGCCTGTATGTTTCTGTTCCTTACTTTTGGGATTGAGATTTGACTCCTGATTTTCCTTTGCCATTGTTTTTAAATCTAATTTGTCACCAAAATCTACAGATTGAACTGCTAAAATATCTTCTGATTACTCAGTGTGTTCCACTGCACATTCTATCCACTGTGGGAAGGGTTGCCTAATGGTCCCCAGCCATCAGTGTTGCTTCTGCAGCATCCTTCAGAAACTAATGTCCCTGTGCTGCCGCCCCTTACAGACTTTGCCAGGACAAAGACCACAGTCCCTTCTGGGCATGCAAGGTGTTTAAAGCTCTTGACTTGACCCTCCTCTTTAGCTCCTCTGGCCCTCAGCTTCTCCGCAATGCCCAGAAAGGCCCTGGTGCTCTGTGCCATCACTAACATGTGTCAGGAAGTTTATTCCCATGAGCTTTCATGTCTTTTTCTAAAGCTGTTCTTTTCTTAAAGTATTGTTCTTCCATTTAACCTTTTGGAAAATATCTGTTTGCCCTTGAGATCTATGTTACTATTCTTGTAGAATTTTCCTGAGCATGACTAGGCAGAGGGAGCTGTTCTCTCTGTGGGTTTCCTGTACTTACCTTGTACTTCTAATAAAGCGCTTGCCAGACTGTCCTGGGAGTACTTTCATTTATGCTTCAGGCCAACACCTCTGAAGTTTCAGGCAGGTGCTGTAGGAAGCACTCACTGGGGTAAGAGGTAGACAGAACACAGTCCTTGTTTTCTGGCAGCCTGGTGTAAGCCCAGGGGACAGAATTGGCACCACATTGAAACTCGAATCTATGTAAAAGAGTGATGAGCCCAAGAAATAACTGAATTCATATAAAAGATTTATTTGTCTCATTCCTTAACTTCTTCAAAGACTATTGACTTTAAAAAAGCAATAATGTAATTTTGTAGTATATAGCATATATACAGGTACAGTATATAACAAAAAGGTGCAAAGAATGGATGGGGCTATAGAATAAGAATAGAAGCTTTTATGCTATATGGAAAATACTACAATTTTGTATAAATTTAGAATGCAGTAAGTTAAAATTGCATATTATAAGCTTTAGCGCAACCATAGAGGTATGGCTAGTAAGCCAGAAGACATAAAATGAAATAATAAAAATACTTAATCCAACCAAAGAGGACGATGTATCAAGAAAGGAGGAGGACAACAAAGCACTTGGAGGATGAGGCCAAACTAGACTGTATAGTGAGACTTTGCCTCAAGAAAGAAAAGAAAGGAAAGAGAAAAAGGAACATGTAGTTAATGTGGTAGACTTGTATCTTCTGTATCAAGAATTATGTCAAATGTAAATAGACTAGTCACTGCATTTAAAAATGGAGGTTGTCCAACTGTAAGAAAGGAACATGCCAACTATATGCTTTTTACAGAAACTGACATTATATCTACATAGTGTAAAAGTAAAGAATGGGCAAAACGCATAGGTAAATACTAACATTTAGAAACTTGATGTGGATGTATTAATATGAAACAAATAGACTTTCAAGACAAAAGAGATAGGGCAGTTTGTAATGATAGAAGGATCAAGTTATCAAGAGTGCACAGCAGCCCTAAATAAATGCATTTAAAAACCTACCTTCCAAATAAATTGACATATTGAAGGGGGAAATATACAATTCCTCATTATAGCTTGATATTTTCTCTTAAGGTTTGATAGAGCAAGTAGACAAGAGGAAAAAAAACAAGAAATCTATTGCAAAGTTAGATAATTTTGTTAATCAATGCCACTTAATTGTTATGTATAAACTATAAATGTTTATTTTTAAAAGTTGAATGGTTTAAAATTACTGATATAGCTTCTGCATTAGATAAAGAAGAACAAATTGCACCCAGAGCAAACATAAAGAATAGCAAAGCGAAGGGCAGATATTAATGAAAACGAATACATAAAATCAGTGAAACCAACAGTGGCTTTTTGAAAAAAATTAATGATAAAATTAATAAATTGTAACCAGTCCAATCAGGAAAATAATGAGGATAAATTATCAATAATTGGAACAAAAGAAGTGGTATCACTACGGATTCTACAGCTATTGAAAGGATAATAACAAAATATTGTCAAAATCAATTTCAATAAATGTGACATCTTAGATAAAATGGACAAATATTTTGAAGGCAATATAGTACTAAAATTGACACAATAATAAATAAAATACATGGGTAGTCAGATATGAGTTAAAGAATTTAAATTCTTAATTAAAAATTTGCCATGAAGCAAATTTTAGATCCAGATGGCTTCCTTGTTGAATATATGGAGCTTTTAAGCAAGAGCTCGTACCACCTTTGCAGAAACTCACTCAGAAGATGAGCAAGAGGAAATCCTTACTCACCCCCCTCTTATGACACCAGCTGGTAGATCTGATTTGCTGTCAGATCTACTCAGAGGCATGAGGAGGGCAGAATGCTTTAGACCAGTAGCATCATGTGCACAAGTATAATATATGAAAACAGAACATTATTCAAGTTATTTTTATCAGTATATGTAATATAACACAAACAATTCAGGTCCAAACTAGCAATATGTTTTATTTTTAACCATTGAAAATCAGCCATTGGAATTTACCACATTAGCAAAATAAAGGAGACAGCATGTTATATCATTTGCTAAAGAAGTATTTTTTGACAAATCCAGCACTTAGGTGGAAGTGCTGGGTGAGTTTCTTTGACTCCATAAACTAAGGTTGACTTTGACACCATAAACTAAGTTTCTTTGACTCCATAAACTAAAGTTTCTTTGACTCCATAAGCTAAGTGCTGAGTGAGTTTCTTTGACTCCATAAACTAAGGTTGAGAGGAGGCTGGGAATTTAGCTCAGTGGCACAGCGCCTGCCTGGCAAGCGCAAGGTCATGAGTTCGATTCCCGGTACTGGAAAAAAAACAAAAAAACAAAACAACTACAACAACAACAACAAAAACCAAAAAGACTATGGTTGAGAACTGTTCAGCCTGAGGAAGGGCAGTGTATAGAAACCCTACAGTTCCTGTCATACTAAAAGGGAAAGTCTGATCATTTTTTTCCAAGATGAGGAGCTGAGCACATATGTTCACTTTGCCACTGTATTTATTATTTTTCTTGTAGTCCTAACTAGAGCAATAATATAAAAAAGAACTAAAGGAATAAAAATTGGAAATAAAGAAGTAGAATTATTGTTATTTTCATACTGATCTTTGCATGGTGTATATGTACAACAGAAAATCCTAAAAAATCTACCAACTCAGTGAAATTATTAGAACTACTAGTCAATCAAGTTACCAAGATTGTAAGATACTGCTTAATGTTAAAAAAAAATCATTTCTATATACTAGCACCTAACA